TGGTTCCTCCCCGTCTGGTTCCTCCACCGTCTGGTTCCTTTCCGTCAGGTTCCTACCCGTCTGGTTTCTCCCCCGTCTGGGTACTCCCACGTCTGGTTCATCCCCGTCTGATTCCTCCCCGTCTGGTTCCTCCACGTCTGGTTCCTCCATCGTCTGGTTCCTTTCCGTCTGGTTCCTACCCGTCTGGTTTCTCCCCCGTCTGGTTCCTCCTCGTCTGGTTCTTACCCGTCTGGTTCCTCCCCGTTTGCTTCTACCCCTGTCTGTTTCTTCCCCGTCTGGTTCCTACCCGTCTGATTCCTTCCCGTCTGGTTCCTCCCCGTCTGGTTCCTTTCCGTCTGGTTCCTCCCCGTCTGGTTCTTCTCCGTCTTGTTCCTCCCCATCTGGTTCTTCCCCGTCTGGTTCCTCCCCGTCTGATTCCTCCCCGTCTGGTTCCTTCCCGTCTGTTTCCTCACCGTCTAGTTCTTCCCAGTCTGGTTCCTCCCCGTCTGGTTCCTCCACCGTCTGGTTCCTTTCCGTCTGGTTCCTACCCGTCTGGTTTCTCCCCCGTCTGGGTCCTCCCCCGTCTGGTTCATCCCCGTCTGATTCCTCCCTGTCTGGTTCCTCCCCGTCTGGTTCTTCCACCGTCTGGATTCTTTCCGTCTGGTTCCTACCCGTCTGGTTTCTCCCCCGTCTGGGACCTCCCCCGTCTGGTTCATCCCCGTCTGGTTCCTCCCCGTCTGGTTCCTACCCGTCTTGTTTCTCCCCCGTCTGGTTCCTCCCCTGTCTGGTTTCTCCCCCGTCTGGTTCCTCCTCGTCTGGTTCTTACCCGTCTGGTTCCTCCCCGTTTGCTTCCTCCTCGTCTGGGTCCTCCCCCGTCTGGTCCTCCTCGTCTGGTTCCTACCCGTCTGGTTCCTCCACCGTCTGGTTCCTTTCCGTCTGGTTCCTACCCGTCTGGTTCCTCCACCGTCTGGTTCCTTTTCGTCTGGTTCCTACCCGTCTGGTTTCTCCCCTGTCTGGGACCTCCCCCGTCTGGTTCCTCCCCGTCTGATTCCTCCCCGTCTGGTTTCTCCCCCATCTGGTTCCTCCTCGTCTGATTCCTCCCCGTCTGATTCCTCCCCGTCTGGTTTCTCCCCCATCTGGTTCCTCCTCGTCTGATTCCTCCCCGTCTGATTCCTCCCCGTCTGGTTTCTCCCCCATCTGGTTCCTCCTCGTCTGATTCCTCCCCGTCTGATTCCTCCCCGTCTGGTTTCTCCCCCATCTGGTTCCTCCTCGTCTGATTCCTCCCCGTCTGATTCCTCCCCGTCTGGTTTCTCCCCCATCTGGTTCCTCCTCGTCTGATTCCTCCCCGTCTGATTCCTCCCCGTCTGGTTTCTCCCCCATCTGGTTCCTCCTCGTCTGATTCCTCCCCGTCTGATTCCTCCCCGTCTGGTTCCTCCACCGTCTGGTTCCTTTTCGTCTGGTTCCTACCCGTCTGGTTTCTCCCCGGTCTGGGACCTCCCCCGTCTGGTTCATCCCCGTCTGGTTCCTCCCCGTCTGGTTCTTCCCCCGTCTGGATTCTTTCCGTCTGGTTCCTACCCGTCTGGTTTCTCCCCCGTCTGGTTCCTCCCGCGTCTGGTTCTGGTCCTCCCCCGTCTGGTCCTCCTCGTCTGGTTCCTACCCGTCTGGTTCCTCCACCGTCTGGTTCCTTTCCGTCTGGTTCCTACCCGTCTGGTTTTTCCCCCGTCTGGGTCCTCCCCCGTCTGGTTCATCCCCGTCTGATTCCTCCCCGTCTGGTTCCTACCCGTCTTGTTTCTCCCCCGTCTGGTTCCTCCCCCGTCTGGTTCCTCCCCGTCTGGTTCCTACCCGTCTGGTTCCTACCCGTCTGGTTCCTTTCCGTCTGGTTCTTCCCCGTCTGGTTCCTACCCGTCTTATTCCTCCCCGTCTGGTTCTTCTCCGTCTTGTTCCTCCCCGTCTGGTTCTTCCCCGTCTGGTTCCTCCCCGTCTGATTCCTCCCCGTCTGTTTCCTTCCCGTCTGGTTCCTCACCGTCTGGTTCCTCCACCGTCTGGTTCCTTTCCGTCAGGTTCCTACCCGTCTGGTTTCTCCCCCGTCTGGGTACTCCCACGTCTGGTTCATCCCCGTCTGATTCCTCCCCGTCTGGTTCCTCCACGTCTGGTTCCTCCATCGTCTGGTTCCTTTCCGTCTGGTTCCTACCCGTCTGGTTTCTCCCCCGTCTGGTTCCTCCTCGTCTGGTTCTTACCCGTCTGGTTCCTCCCCGTTTGCTTCCTCCTCGTCTGGGTCCTCCCCCGTCTGGTCCTCCTCGTCTGGTTCCTACCCGTCTGGTTCCTCCCCGTTTGCTTCTACCCCTGTCTGTTTCTTCCCCGTCTGGTTCCTACCCGTCTGATTCCTTCCCGTCTGGTTCCTCCCCGTCTGGTTCCTTTCCGTCTGGTTCCTCCCCGTCTGGTTCTTCTCCGTCTTGTTCCTCCCCATCTGGTTCTTCCCCGTCTGGTTCCTCCCCGTCTGATTCCTCCCCGTCTGGTTCCTTCCCGTCTGGTTCCTCACCGTCTAGTTCTTCCCCGTCTGGTTCCTCCCCGTCTGGTTCCTCCACCGTCTGGTTCCTTTCCGTCTGGTTCCTACCCGTCTGGTTCCTCCACCGTCTGGTTCCTTTCCGTCTGGTTCCTCCCCCGTCTGGTTTCTCCCCCGTCTGGTTCTTCCCCCGTCTGGTTTCTCCCCCGTCTGGTTCCTCCATCGTCGGGTTCCTTTCCGTCTGGTTCCTACCCGTCTGGTTTCTCCCCCGTCTGGTTCCTCCACCGTCTGGTTCTTCCCCTGTCTGGTTTCTCCCC